TCTTTTAACTTCAAACAACATGTCAAAGGGCAAACACATAACTGTGGTCATACACTGGACTTGGTTTTTACCCTGGGTGTCAGCATTTCCTCTGTGGAATTAGTGGACATGACCATATCTGACCACAGATGTATTGTTTTTAGCTGCGATTCGCCTGTTACTCATGCCGCCTCACCAAGCTCCGTGTGTTGTCGCATCTTTAATGAACAAAGTGTTTCAAAGTTTTGCGCAGTCTTTCAGAACCAAAGCCAACACCTGTCTGATTCCAACACCAACAATCTGGTCGATCACTTTAATCATATCTGCTTGTCGTCACTAAATATTACTGCTCCTCTAAAGGTTAGGCCTATGTCTAAAGCTAGTAAACAACCCTGGATAAATGACAGCATTCGCAGCCTAAAAAGGGAATGCAGGAAAGCAGAGCGCAGATGGAAAAAATCCAATCTCCAAGTCCATTACCTCAGTCTGAAGGATTTATTAATTAACTACAATAAAATGGTTAAGGATGCGAGAACACACTATTTTTCTGAACTCATTACTACACATAAACACAATCCCAGGTTTCTGTTTAAGACTGTGGATCAGCTGGAAGTAATGATGACTGTGAATTGTTTTTATCTTATTTTACCAATAAGGTGGTGTCAATCAGAGCCTCTATTTCCCCCGCGGCCTCTTACTTAGAGGTTCCTCACCAGCAACAACAGAGTTTTAACCAGTTTTATCCCATCGACTTGTCTGAGCTTTTAAAAACAATATCACAAATGAGAGTGTCCTCCAGCCCACTTGATATAATACCTACAAAATTTTTACTAAAAGTAATAGATTCTGTTGGGCCCCATTTGATCTCTGTTTTCAACAGCTCCCTATCTACTGGTTGTGTCCCTGATTATTTTAAAACGGCTTGCGTGAACCCACTTTTAAAGAAACCTGGTTTAGATCCCTCCCTCCCACAAAATTTTAGACCAATTTCAAAACTGCCTTTTATTGCAAAGATTCTAGAAAGAATTGTGTCCAAACAGCTGCTCACTGTGCTGGAAAATAACAAAATATTTGAAAAGTTTCAGTCTGGTTTTAGGAAGTACCACAGCACTGAGACTGCCCTGCTTAAAGTCACCAATGACCTTTTAATGTCTGCTGATGAAGGTATGTGCTCAGTCCTTGTACTCCTGGACCTTAGCGCTGCTTTTGACACCATTGATCACAACATCATGTTAGACAGACTGAGGCACTGGGTGGGGATCTCTGGTACTGCTCTAGAATGGTTTTCATCCTACCTGTCAAATAGGAAGTTTTGCGTGTCTGTAAACAACTATGTCTCTTCATTCTGTCCAGTTAAATATGGTGTGCCTCAGGGGTCGGTCTTAGGGCCCATTTTGTTTTCCTTGTATCTGCTTCCCCTTGGACATATTATCCATAAACATGGCATTTCTTTTCATATTTATGCTGATGACACACAAATATACTTGCCCGTCAGATCCACAGACCCTGGAATGCTGAGTTCACTTAACAACTGCCTTTGTGAAGTTAAAAAATGGATGTCAAATAATTTCCTCCAGCTGAACTCAGACAAAACAGAAATCCTGGTCATCGGGTCCCAGCAGATGGCAAATCAAATACTGCCATCTGCTGGTTCCCTAGTAAATCACATTAAGCCTGTGGCAAAGAACCTTGGTGTTTGGTTTGATAGTAATTTAAATTTCGAGCAGCACACCACAAAGCTTGTTCAATCATGTTTTTATCAACTTAGAAATATAGCTAAAATTCGATCTATGTTAACTTTTAAGGACACCGAGACCATTTTACACGCCTTCATCTCATCACGCCTGGATTATTGCAACAGCCTTTTCACCTGTTTAACCCAAAAATCTATTGATCGACTCCAGACTGTCCAGAACTCAGCTGCCAGGCTTTTAACCAGAACAAAGAAATATGACCACATTACTCCTATTTTAGCTTCATTACACTGGCTCCCAGTATGTTTTAGAATTGACTTTAAAATTCTATTGATCACTTTTAAAGCTCTTCATGGCCTCTCGCCTTGTTATATTTCTGACCTTTTAGTCCCATACGCACCAGCACGTACCTTGAGATCCTCGGGCAGAGGTCTGTTGTCTTTTCCAGAGTCTCGACTGAAAACTAAAGGGGACAGAGCGTTTGCTGTCAGGGCCCCGAGGCTCTGGAACAGCCTGACCGAGGAAATCAGGTCAGCTGAGTCAGTGAACTCTTAAGTCCCTTCTTAAAACATACTTTTATAGGAGAGCTTTTCCCGATCTTATTTGACTTTATTTTATCCCTTTTATTTTATTGTATTTTACTAATTTTATATTAAATTTTCATGCTCTTATCTTTTTTTTGTATTATTCTTTACACTTGTTAAAGCACTTTGTAACTTGTTTTTGAAAAGTGCTCTGCAAATAAGGATTATTATTATTATTATTATTATTTGGCGCTATATAAATAAAATTGAATTGAATGACCGAGAGACAGCAGCAACATGGTCTGAAAAGGACAGCTGGTCATCAGTCATGACACCCAAGTTTTTCACCACCTTGGTTGGAGTGATGGTTGCGGAGTCTTGCTTGGCTGGAATGACCAAGAGTTCAGTCTTAGAGAGGTTTAGTTGAAGATGGCAAGCCTTCATTCATGAAGATATGTCCGATAGACAGTCTGTGATCCGCACCGAGACAGTGGCGAGAAGGATAGGTAGAGTTGCGTGTCGTCTGCGTAGCAGTGGTAAGAGAAGCCGTGATGATGGCATGATGGAATGATCGGCCCCAGTGAGGTGTGTAAATTGAGAAGAGAAGGGGCCCAAGCACTGAGCCTTGGGGAACCCCTGTGGAGAGGCAGTGGGAGGAGGATAATTGTCCTTGCCACAAAACATTGTAGGAACGCCCCGAGAGGTAGGATTCGAACCACAGGAGTGCTTTACTCGAGATGCCCATTGCTGAGAGAGCGGATAGCAGGATCCTGTTGTTGACTGTGTCAAAGGCAGCTGATAGGTCAAGCAGGATAAGAACCGAGGATTGGGCTGCAGCTTTAGCTGACCTTAGGGCTTCTGTTACAGACAGAAGAGCCGTTTCAGTAGAGTGGGCACTCTTAAAACCAGACTGATATGGATCTAGGAGGTCATTCCCTGAGAGGAATTCTGAGACCTGTTTGAATACTGCCCGTTCAATAGTTTTGGATAAAAAAGGTAGAAGAGACACTGGTCGATAGTTCTCAACTTGAGTTGGGTCAAGTGAGGGCTTTTTGAGCAAGGGTGTAACCCGAGCCCTTTTGAAAGTGGTCGGGAAGGTTCCTGAAGCCAGAGAATCAAATCGGACCCCTCTTGCGGGCTCCGTACCTTTCATACAGCACAGCGAGCTGGCACATTGGTGTAATAGATCCTATAGGCTTAGATGTAAACTTCTTTTTCTTGTAGTTGCTCTCTCCATGTTTGTTTACCTTTTTTTAAACGCAGGCTTCCCCTGGTAACTCAGTGTTTACACATAGCTTTAACATCACAATGCTATGAACTGTGGGTAACTCCTTCAGGTAAAGTCTGCAGAGATGCGCACTTAAGGCATGCATAATGGACTCAAAAAGTCTGCAGGAGAGGCCTCATATACTTGATGATTTTACACTGGGACAGCCCTGAGCCTTCGGAAACTGTAGTGGAAAACATTTTGAGATTGAACGTGCTCGTGGGGACAATTGCTTTTTTTTTATAGTTCATGCATGATACTATAAACTGAATGAGTACTACATGGATATACTTCTTTACAACCTTTCATTATTTTGACTTTATTCCAATTGCACATATTTGTCACACTTTATACTGTGAATATTTGGAATTGTCTTGCAATATTTCACTCTCAGTCAACTTTGTTTTAAACACTGTGTAGTTCTTTTGATTTATTAGATATTTTTTTTGTAATCCTATATTTTATTTAGGATTTTGGACTTTTGCAGCACTTGTTTTTTCCTTTTTTCTTTTCTCTTGCTATGCTTTATTGTTATCAACCAAAATACCAACTCAGATTCCTTGTGTGTAAAAACCTACATGGCAATAAATCTGATTCTGATAGTCATTGAATACAATCCGTTTTTATCCATATTTAGCATGTAGTTAGTTTTTCTGATTGCAGACCTTTTTGACCTCTTGAGATGTGGTCTATCATCTCATTTTTAAAGGGTCCCAAATGGTGAACCAGGTTTTCTTTAAGTTCTGGTGAGGAATGCGTACATTTGGGAACACAACAGCAACTCAAATAATCCTGGAGGTACTTCACAAGAACAGTTTTAGGACATCCTCTTCTTCTTCATCTTCTTCTTTTTCTTCTTCTTCAGTTCTTACCAGACTACCTGTGATGCATATTCATTTAAGCAACTTCACCTGGGGATTCTGTCATAACTTTATTGTATAGTGAGGCCTGATTAATGACAAGGTAATGTAAAACCAAATATTTACATGATATATGTATATGGATAGTGTTAAACATTTACTCTTTGCTTTCCTGGTATGTTATTAGCCTACACATAGGTGTGAAAATGGGCAGAAGAATAGGGGCTGTGTTTAGCTGAACAGAATGTGCAAATGAAAACGGATGAGGACAGGTTGTGTTTCAAGTTAGATATTAATATACCAGAAAATGCAACTGGCACTGGCATATTTATTGATGGTAATGGTGTTTTCCGATCTGGTGTGAAGTTCTTAAAGCTCATGCAGTTGTTGTTTATAAAGTTTGACAGCACAGGTGTCAATTCAATTCTGCTTTATTGGCATGAATGTCAAACAACATTATTGCCAAAGCTTAAAATATAATACAAAAGAACAATTCATTTCACACAGTTCATTAAATAATAATAAATAAAACAGTAAAAGTGCGTGTTTGTGTGTTAAAATAACATTAAAATATTTAAAAATAAATAAATAAATAATAAAACAGTAAGTGTGCGTGTGTTGTCTTTAACCTGTCTATACGAGGTCACCAATAAAGACATATCAAAACGTCCATCTATCCATTTCATTTTAAGTGTTTATTGTGAATATGTGTAAAACAGAAACATCAGACTAGAAAGAATAATTGAAACAAACCAAAATGATTAAATAATGATATAATAAATCAATAATAATAATAATTACAGCCAAAAGGAAATTTTTTGAAACATTTGTCAATTTGTTTACATATTCAAAAGGGAGTGAGGGGAAGAGAAGAACGTATTTAATCCCACACCCTGTCCACAAATCAATAATTTTAAATAATCTATCTGCTTTCCAAAGTATTTTTTAACATGCGTGTCGTCATACCCAAAATCATTTCAAAATTTACATCAGTTATTAACAAAAAAGTGGAACATAAATGAAGAAAGAAAACAATAACAACAACAACAACAATAATGAAACTGAGAATAAACCATACCACCTTAGTGATTAAAACCACATGCCTGCTTTGTGGGCTGCTGTAGATTTCAAAACAATAAACAGTAGGATGGAAAGGTCACTGTTCTGTGACCTTTAAGCACAATTTCTTTCATTTAGTTCAAGGGGAACTCCACCAATTATACATATGAAGGTCAGATTTCTTCTCATGATTACAATTCAAATGTTGTATCCAGGGTTTTTTTGGAGCTTTACCTACACGAGCAACTAAAAGTCAGGACATCTCGACCTCGTCTGCTTCAATTTGGGCGCCATTTTTGAAGAGAAACCTGTCTCTTCTGACGACCACTTTCAAATCTGGAAGTGTTTTACATCCTAACACTGTCTCTCTGAAATGCTAATATGTCAATTGGAGGGTAATAAAAATGTGCACTGTGAGAGGTTAAAATTGTTTTATTGTGGTCCAGCTTTTGCCAAAACTTGATAATGATGTAAATGCAGCTCATCCAAATACATTTAACAGTTTAGTTGTTATTAAATAGGCATATTACACTACTAGTATACTACTAAAACTACAAGACATGATATTTAGTTAAAACCCAGTGAGGGAGACATGTTATGAGTTATTTCTCCTTATGCCTTTATGTTTTTTGGAAGAAAACTTCCTTTCACTGACCTGAAAACAGATCCATTTTGCAGAATAGAAACTCATAGCAGCACTTTAGATGGACTTCCCCTATAAACACATTATTTCTGTCATATACAAGCTACTGCTTTAATTTCCTGTCATGAAAACCTGAAATGCACAGTACAGCAGATAAACAACAAACACAATCACATAGGTAACTCGTGTAACCCTGAATAAGCCTAGTCAACATTTATGCCTTGAAAAAACTCCTGAGAAAAACCCACTACACTGTCAGCACTGTTTCAGACAAGTCAACAAACCAAAGTTGTACAAGCACCAGTAGCTTTCTCTTCTCAATTCATAACTGATCTCAGAATCATAAGATCCATTTCTCTCTTCTATTGGCTCATAAAGAACACAACAATAACAACAAGAACCATCTGCCTTCAAAGTGTCTCACTGTCTGGCATTTCAACATGCTAAAAGCCCCAAATCCTATATATAACACACAGTACTACACACTTTTCATTCTTTTTGCAGGTGTGAGGTGAACTCTAAGCAACGGGCCTTCATTTCCTCAGTGTACTCCTCTGTCCATTCTTTAGTTTTACATTTTTACCACTAAAAAGTCTTATAAAACAGAAATCTACATACAATATTCTTAAACTGAGCCAGGTAACTTAGCAGTCTTTGACATTAAAGATATAATAATATAAATAAGACATTGTGACATAGGTATATCTGTTGTTATTCTTTGTAGCTCCACAAATAAAAACATGTCATGTGCATTTCAGACTGTTTTCAAAGAAGAAGTGCTAAATTACAAAAAAGCCCCGACAGTAAATGACATGGCTCGCTGTGGGAGTTTCCCAGTTTCAAAATAAAGGTCAGAGATTATTTATGTAGCCGAGAGCAGAGGTGTAAGAAAATGTCATTCAGTTCAGTTTTTTGAGGGGAATTAAAGCTGCTGCAACACGTGGGTAGGAGTTTTTCACCTCCGCACGTGATAAAAAAAGATATAAACGTACAAACTATGTTCAGTTTGCAAGCCATTTTTACAGCTCTGTCCACACTGGTCTTTGCAACAGACACATTTCTTCTGCAGATGTGGAATCTTGAATCTGATTTCCTGATTTTCTGCTGTTCAAATATGAAATAGATAAAAACCTTTTAAATTCAATTGATTTTATGTTTTTACAAGTTCAGAAGTCACAGTAAGTCAAGTCAAGTCAAGTTTTAATGCAACATTAAATTACATATAAAGCTATAAAAAAAATACAAAGAATAAAAAAACAATTTGGTACATGCACATACAAATAACAAATGAGAACTTTTAGAGACTTAAAAACAACAAAAGGTATACGGTATCATGCAGAGGGGTGTTCTAGTCCCTCTGTTTGTAGCTTTAATGTCATTCATCTCAATTCCAAGATCCACACTCCTTTATCCGTCACACCTGGACACACTAACTGGATTGTAATTCTACTTCCTGTCCTTGTTCATTCATCCTCAGTCATGGTCCCTAATTTTACCCTGCACAACTTCCTACAATTCACCTCGACATCCTGCAATTCAGATTCAGCATTCGTTTCAAAGGTTGTGATCTTGACAAGAGCATAAAATAAAGTGATGTGACCGAATAATCATGTGCGAAATGCAGCTACAGCAACAAGGCAAAGAGAAGATCTGTCTTAAAGCCCCCTGAACTCGAGAGGCACAAAAAGCACAACAACCATGTTCCACTATGTTCTATGTACCACTGTGTTAACTTTTGTCTTCTTCATCGCTACGATATCTAACAGAAGTATAAATTGCCGTACACTACACTTTAAATTTTACTCTCATGCCGTAGATGCCTCTTGTGGCCACAGTGGCCGCTGTTCAGCAGATGTCTCTTTAAGGTGTTTTGATACACGTACACTGCACATAGATGGGAAGAAACAGCCCAACAGTTCATCTTTAATCATTCACACTCACTCACACACTGATGCGTGCTGGCCTGACCCTCAGGAGCAAGATGGGGTTCAGTGTCTTGCCCAAGGAAACTTCAGCATGTGGACAGGAGATGCAACCATGCTACCTCCTCCTCCTGGCCTCTTCTAGATTCACCGGCCTGTGCTTAACTCTGTGCTTCCTGGCAGTCCGGGTTAGGAAGACCCCGCTCTGTGTCCACATTTGTTGTAGCTTCTGAAGGGTTTTCTACGAGTTGGTCCTCGTCCTCAGCTGATGTTTAGATTAGAGGGCATCATGGAAAAGAAGTCTGCGATCGTGATTATGAGTTGTCTAATTAAACTGGACTTTTCGTTGGAGGAATTTTTCATTGTTTCAGTCAAATCTGGAGATTTTCATCTGTTTTTCATACGAGTGGCACCAACTGACGACCAGTTATAGATATCAAAGAAGCTATTTTGTGGAGTCGTCCTGGAATTATTTCTCCTGCAGTAGGATTTTTCTGCACAGGCTTTGTCTTTAAACGCAGACATGCTTCATCGTGGGTTTAGGACCCAATGTATAGATCATCATTAAGTCCTTTTTTTCAAGAGGTTTGAGCGATGCGTTCAATAACCTTTCTTTATTTGTTGTCTTGTTTTTGCCTTTGATGGTATTCTTCAGGCTAACCTGTGGTGGAGACAAAAGACAATAAATTTAGATAAGGAGTGAAAGACAAAGTGCAGATTTGGAGTATGGATTTGAAGAGTTAAACTGGTCGTTAAGTGAATCCATGTAAACAAGGATTGTTAGAGAAGCTGTGTTACATTAAGCCATGTAAGTGCTTATGTGGGAACGTTTCCCAAGCATCTGAGAGTGTGTATGTGTGTGTGTAAGCATATTCTGTTACTTACATAGCTTATTATGAATATGACAAGTGCAACCATCAGCACCGCTGTTGCAATAATAACCATGTAAGCATCTGTCATCGGGATTGTCTGGTTTTCCGTGGGAGTGTCAGCACAATCTGGAAATGAAAATGAAAGTTACTCAAGTTTAAACCATCATGATTGTCAGTGGTGTTCACATCATGTTTTAATCTTTTTTTTTATGACAATTTAAAAGGTTTCAGTATCATACAAGTTGAGGCACATTCAGTGTCACAAAACCAGCAGAAATCTTGAGGAAAAAGATTCTAGTCTGGAAAACACCCCATGAGAATCATAAGAGTCCAGCAGATTAAAACAAACAGATCAGCAAACTAGATGATGATGACAGTGTTGTATTGGAGTTCATCCTGATGGCTGACCGGCTTTCTCTTTATTCCCAAACTTCATGAACAATTCGGTGTTGTACATCTAAAATAATGCACAGAGGATTTCTCGCCTCTTATTTATTCAGAGACTGGTTTTGGTTTGGATAAATGAGATTCAATTTCACAACACCTGCAACCCAGCTGCAGTGTTTTTTGCAGTTTGAAAATGTTGGTTTTTCCAGCAAAATTATAAAGGTAAGTAGACAAAGTTTCTGTAATAACAACTACTAGATGAATTGCCATAAAAAAGATATTACAAAACATAAATTCTAATAACTTTGCTGATCCTCTGACTGTTCATCTTGCGCCATCTATCCGGTCAACTATTTAATTTTTTCCCAATACTTTGGTTTATGACCAAATACAGAAACTAATGTCATTGCCATCAGCCTCAGCTGTACTTTTTGTTGAATGCTAACTAGCAAATGTTAGCATGCAAAACTTAGCATTGTTAGCATGCTGACATTAGCATTTCAAAGAAAGCCTCACAGAGCTGCTAGCATAGCTGCAGACTCTTCGTTTTGCTTTCATAGAAGAGGCAAAAAATTTAATTACACTTATTCTAAAGTGGGTTTTGGTGGGAATTTTAAAAATCAGAGTTCCATTAAAGGGTTATTATAATTGATTTCACACCCACGCTCCATCCCTACACACTAGATGCAAACATGATCGTTAAATAGGTCCGGAAGTTCCCTGATTTAAATTCAAAAGTAACTGATACGTCACGGAGTCTTTCACTTTTCACAGTGTCAAATGTTTTCCCACTGTAGAAAATCTGAATAATCTGCTTGCTGATCCTGAGCTTTGACTCTTACCTGTCACGTTGAGAAGGACCTCTCCATCCTGGTTCTGCTCCCCCACAGGTGCTGCCAGGTGACAGCTGTACACGCCACGGTCAGCACACGTCACGCTAGGCAGGAAGATGCTGCTAGACTCTGTCAGCAGCTCCACTTCTCGCTCCACGCCCCTGTACAGTCGCGTCATGCCGGTGGTGAGGTCTCGGGTCAAAAGGCCGCTAAGACCAGGCGCCGGAGCCTCTTTGACCTGTGACATCATCAAAACAGTGTGAGATTTATATACAGCTAATGGATCAGAACCACAATCAACATGAACACACCATGTAACTGCAGACAGTACTGATATCATTCAGTCTACCACTATACTATAAGTCCTAATTCCATTTGTAGTTCATCATTGCTACTACAACTGTCACTATACTTACAGCCAAGCTATTAAATAAACCAAACTATTATATTACTGCTTATATTTCTTAAATGAATCGCTATGAAAAACACAAAAGGAGTGACTTTTATGTTTAAGTTCTGCTGATGCTTGCAGGTATTTTACTTCTCAATGTGTTATTTTTATTTAAGAAAAGGATCTGATACTTCATCTGTTACTGTTAAGTATAGCTGGAGAATTAAGTAATGTCCTTAAGTACGAGTTTGGCACACCAGTACTTTACTTGAAAATGTCCATTTTATTCTACCTTATACTGCTACTCCAGTACATTTCAGAGGGAAATATTGTACTTTTTAGTCCACTAGGTGTAGTTGACACTTTTTACATTTAAAAAAAATGCATGATATTAACATATGATGCAGTACTATACTACTATTCTACCCAGTATTATATGAAGTATCCAAAACTGGCTCCATCTTGACAAACTTACATTAAAATGCTCTTCATTAAAATTCCCTTAAGTTGGACTACTTCTTCCACCTCTGCTAAAGTAATACCACTGTAACTACTGCCTCTACTGCTTTTACTTGAACAACAGCAAAAACTATTAGTACTACAAAGAGTAAACTACTGTTATTACATTGTATTATACAATTTATTGGCCTGCTTATGCTGTACTTTAATGATAAGAGAGAAACAGAAAGTCAATGGAGCCTCATTTGAATTCAAACCAGCCAACCAATTAGAAGCAGGCCCGTCTCCTTCCTGGAGCTTTGTATTCGTGTACAAGTCTGTCTGAGACATGAAAATAATTTACCTTGTACCATCTCAGGGCGCTGTACTGGACACCAGGCTTGGATTTAGCGGTACACTGAAGAGTACAATCCGCACCAACAACGGATTTAACCTCAGGCATTTCCTCCTGAACAGGCGCACCCACAGCAAGGCACACTGAGGAAATACACAAGAATACATAAATTAAAGTTTATAAAGTGTGTGTATGGTGTAAACCTTCAATACAAGAGCTCTCACAGCGTGACAACAAAAGCCACACACAAATGCAGGCAGCTGTTTATGCACAGTAACATACGCCTCGTGTAGTTCATATAATCACGTAGATTATGATTTCACAAGAGTTAATAACGTTAAATACTTACACAGTGACAGAAGTAGAGCGAGGTGGAGGAAACCTGGAGACATTATGACGATGAAATTGTGAGAAAGAAGCAGATCGGTCTGTGAACCACTCGACGGGCAATGTCATATATAGGCAGGACCTCGAAAGCGAAACTAACACTAAGGCGTAGCAAAGTGACAACTGGGAGTTGCAGTGGGAGTTGCAGTGTGACTATTTGCAGTGTCATTGTCAGTCGGCAATAGATAGTGGTTGATAATAGCTCCACGATGAAAGCGCTTCGTGGCCACGTTGCATTTATTCTTTTTGGTGAGTAGTCTCATTATGCTATCTCGACTGAATATATTGCATGAAAAGCTAGTGATTCTTCTCTGTAACTTGAGTCTTGCGATGCTGTTGTTTTGTGACAGAGCCCGTTACTTAATACCTGTCAGCTGAAGAATGTTAATGCATCCCTGCTTAACTAACGTTACATACACAAGCAGCACACGTTCAGGCGCTTGATGTAAGCCTCCAACGTTGACGGAAATGGTAGAGGGCCTGTCTAGAAAGACTGCGTTTTGTTTACTATTTGGTTATATATAGCCTATGTTTATGGCCATTGTTAAGCTTGACGGCTAATGTTGCTATAAAAACGCTGGGTCATCATCAGCCCGACATGATGCTGCGCTAACGCATTATTTAATACATTACTTAAGTACCATGCTTGTGTTTTTGGATGCCTCAAGCTAATGCACACAATTCAACCATGAAATAATATGTTATTCGGATGTGATACTATGATTGACAGTACGATAGTGAAAGCACCCTGTGGGATTTTCCCGTGGTTTCTCTGCCGTGTGTAACGTTACGCGGCGGTAGTTTCCACTGTTGAAAAGGAAAAATATATTATTTCAGATTAGGAAATCCCCACTATGAGTGAGGATAGTGTTTCAGTGCTTTTAGTAGGAATTACCATTATAAAACAGGCAACATAAGGCTTTTTTAGACAGGAATAAAAATAAACTCAACAAGCTCTCAAGTGAAGTTTAAAAACATTTTCTCATCTTTTTAATGCACTGGATTGTAGGCACAGATTTAAAGTAATGGATGATTTATTCATTTGAGGCATTCAGGTTTTGTGTTCCCTCATCACTGTCAAGAAGTTAAAATAATAAATAGCCTTGATGAAAAATGTAAAAGCATATTTTGGACCACATTGATTTAAATCTGATGTTTTGACCAAATCGAGGGAGAAATAAAGAGCCAAATATATTTCTTCATTGTATTTAGCAGCTGTTGGGGTGTCTGCGATGGCCAACTCCGATGTGATGGAGAGCAGTTCTCCTTATTCCTGCTGTGAAAACCCTGTCATTTCATTCAACCACCACTGTGAAAACGTTTGGTACATTAGTAACAAGGTAAAAAAAAACATCACCCTGCAAGACAATGCAACAAATATATTTGATTTGTGTGTTTTAACTATTATTCAAGGGAGATACAAACAAGCCCAACCTGCCACCATTTTACAAAAACTTTAATAAAACTGCAAACTGCCATTTCATTTTACATGAGCTAAAAGTGTATCATGGTTAAAAGGCATGTGTAAAAGTGCAAGTTACAAAGGTTAGAAAACAGCCTACCTACACAAAAAATGCAAAGTCTTTTTCACTTAGCATTATAATTATGGTTATACATGAGAGTTCCCTGAATTATCTCACAATGTTTGCTCATTTATGTTCCCCTCAGGATTTTTCATCTAGGGCCATCATCAGGTCAAATTTTGTCCAATCCTTTGATTTATGACATACCTACAGAACTGATGCTGTTTCATGCTAATTAGCTAATGTTAGCATGCTAACATACTAAATAAAGATTGTAAACATTTTACCTGCTAAACATAAGCGTGTTAGCATCGCCTTTGTGAGCATGCTGCCATGGTAGCATTAGCATTTATCTCATTAATGCTGTGCCTCACTTAGCTGTTAGCGTGGCTGCTTACTCTAAAGGTCCTTTCAGATAGGAAGCAATTTGCTCTGCACTGGCTGCTGGGTTCAACACAAAAAACGTTGGTGAACTTTGACCGTAGTATGCCTGTAAGCACGCCAAGCTGTGCGCTGCATGTTGGTCAACACAGCAACAAACCACCATGGCGCGGTGCAAAACATTCAAAATAAGCAGCGGTGCGTCTGAAAGGCCCTTTAGGCTGTGTCCAAAATTACTCCATAGTACTGTTCGCTGTTCACTCAGTACAATCCAGTAACTGGTAACTAAAGCTATTAAATAAATGTAGTGGAGTAGAAGTATAAAGTAGCAGACAATTGACATATTTAAGGTAAGTACCTCAATATTTTACTTAATTAAAGAAAGGGAATTAATGTATTTATACTAGTGAAGGATTGACAGAGGGAGTTGTTTCAGACACAGCTTTAGTTTTGACATTTTAGCAGTTTGTAGTGTATTCTTTTATAGTGACTGTGTTTAGCATTAAACATAGCGACAGACAGCTCTGCACCCTGATACCCAACCCCAACACAAAATCTTATTTTATTTTATAATCCAGAAATTATAGAGAGCATTATAAAATGTGACTCCATTCAGACTTAAGACGGACCAATCGCTGTCATCCTCATTGCTAGAAGCCAGCCACAACTTAGATTAAATATTTTACATTTGGGTGGAAGAGCTGACTTTGTTCCATTCAGGTCACGATGATTTAAAGATGCTCTGTGGAGTTTTATGTTTACATTCAGTGTTTTTTTTTACCAGAAATCACTGTGTGTGTGTGTGTGTGTGTGTGTGTGTGTGTGTGTGTGTGTGTGTGTGCTTAAGGTCTAACAGACATATCAAATGTATTTCTTTCATTTGCTATAGTATATATTTTAAATCCACTCCTCAGGGAACCGTTAAATCAGCTGTGATATGGATCAGTGCAACCAAAATGAGCCCATCTAAATCTTTGATTTGGACACTTGTACATTTAAGAGCTTACTCACTGTTCTTAAAGTGATTTTTGTTTGTGGTGTTTTGTTCATGTAGCCCATCGCTTACTACAAAGGCATCGACAAATCAGGGTGCATTCACCCTTGCAAGAAGATTGAAACTGGACAGATGATGCTGGATGGATGTGCTGATGTGAACACTACAATGGTGTGCACCAATGTAGGTTGCACACTGGTGTTATTTACTTATTTGTAGCAGTAATCTAACAGGGTTTCCAAACCCAGTACTATCGTAGTTTATGAACTCTTAAATGAAAACACTGAAGCCGAAATCAAATCTGTAGAAACTGTTGGGTTCATGTCTAATTTCACTTCTACGTCTATTTACAGGAGAATAATGTGGCTGAGGAGACAAGGATCCGACATTACGGCCTGCTTTGTTCTGAATCTCGTTTGGCTCCAGTAAATCAGGGTGGGTCCTGTTTATGAACCAATACGCAGATTTCTAACAGTGAATTTAAATGACATGTTTGATCCAAAACACGCTCAGAAACAAACACAAATCAAACACATTAAAGGGATACTATGCGATTCTGCAGAGAGTTTGTTGATAAACAAACTCATGAACGTGCATTGCCATGGTAACCAGTCCTACACTGCTGAAATATAGCAGAATCCACAGAGTCTGCTGTAGGAGAGCACGTTAGCCTCAATAAGAGGGCATGTTTTAGCAGCACTGTAGAAGGTGTAACAACAAGCCTGACAATATTTAAATATGTATTGAAGCAAACATCACCAAATAAACAACATGTAAGCACACAAACACAGCATCCAAAACACAACAGAGTAAAAAACTAGTGAGTTATTTGAAATAGTTTGTACAAAAATATAGTGACTGATAAGAGTTTGGAAGCACAGGAGCAACTGTTTATCTCCAGGGCCAAAGTCAAAGCTAACTTTGGGGCTAAACTCCTTCACTCTTTATTCAAAAGTTAGCAGCAACACACAGGAGCTCCTCTTTAGTCCTGAGAGGCTGCAGTCTTTATTCACCGGCCTCTGTAACTTCTACTGTACATTTACTTAAGTCGCACACACAGTGACTTCAGACTCGACTTCAGACTCGTCCTCAAAAGACTTCAGACTCGTCCTCAAAAGACTTCAGACTCGACTCGGACTCGAGGTGCGGGACTCGTGAACAATGTTTACTTTTTAGGAAACTTCCCTCCCTCCGTTACCTACAACCTGCCTACGTAACACACAGCATCTGCTGCACGACCGCACGTGAGAGAGGACAACAAACACCAGGAGCTGCTGTGCCATTCATCATAAACTTTGGCTTTAAAACGTCATAAAACAAGACCCAAACAAAGACGCGCTGAACGCAAATACGTTTATAACCTGTGGTGAGTAAACATGTTTAGCTCAGCATTGGCCATCTAACGTTAGCTTGCTTCTTGCTTCAGCTATGACCTACAGGAGGTTTGCTCCGACTGTCGTTTATTATGAAAAGATAAATGATCGTTTGTTTACTTGCCAAACTGGTGGTGATCGATCAACGTAATAATTTACGTCCTGCTGGCTGCCTGTTAATTATTACTCTTGGCTAGAAAGAGGTTACATGTTTATTGCTGATCATGTAGCCTATTATTTATTATTACCTATTATTATTTAGTTATAACGTTACACTGGTTTGAGAGTGGGGGATGTGTTGACTAGTTTAAGCTGCATTGCACATTACATGATTGTGCTCTGTAAGTTAAAAACTTGTTACAGTTTTATTGTTGACCATGTAACTTTACAGTATTATTCAGTTAACTTTACACTGGGTTTGAGAGTCAACAGGGTTTGTTGCCTTACAGGAGTTTATAAGCTGTCATTAATTGTAGACGCATTGTACATTAGGCTACATGGTTGTGCTCTGTAAGTTAAAAACAGGTTACAGGTTTATTGTTGACCATGTAACTTTACAGTATTATTCAGTTAACTTTACACTGGGTTTAAGAGTCAACAGGGTTTGTTGCCTTACAGTAGTTTATAAGCTGTCATTAATTGTAGACGCATTGTACATTAGGCTACATGGTTGTGCTCTGTAAGTTAAAAACAGGTTACAGGTTTATTGTTGATTATGCAACGTCACAGTTTTATTTAGTTAATTTTACACTGGGTTTAAGAGTCTGGGGAGTGTGCTGACTTAAAGTATTTAATAAGCCGTCAATAATTGCATTGCACATTACATGGTTATGCTCTG